ATAATCAGCAGCAAAACATGGCTTTATGATCTCTTCATGGATCAAGAGTGGCTGGATACACTGGTAAGTTGTTTTTCAAAATAACATTTCCAATTGTAATGACACTGTATGTAGCATTGTCGATAAATACTGACCTGATATTGTTTTCCTATACTCATAACAGCATATGGAGGTTGGCATGTTTTACTTGGAGGTGAAAGGATTCAACTACAAGCTCACACAAACATACTCAACTGTGACACCTTTTTTCCTGGAATGTCTTAAGAGGCATCAAGATGACATTGACAAGAAAATTAAAACCAAAGAAGATGTTGGAAGCGTTTCAAACTTGACAGCTGAAGTGTTTGGTTTTGCAAGAAAGTGTGCTTTCCCATGGGCCCGATCAGATTTTGTATATATGCCACTGAATATTGGGGGGCATTGGGTGCTGCTGGTGTTAGCGGTGGAGTCCAAAATAGTATGGGTTTATAATTCAAAGGGAGGGAGATCTCTTAAAGACATTGCTGAATATAGCACTTTGATATGCACATATTTTATACACTTTTTAGACATATTTTGAAGGAGTTTTGAGTCCCAATTGAATTTAATATTTATATTTTATTTCAATTTTCCGTTTTATTTGTGTAGAGCGGTCCTATGCTTGGTTTTATATGTTTTGCAGGCATTTTGAAGTCATTTGGATGCATTTAGGATAATTGCAAGGACGGAAAATAAACATGGAAGTTTGGGACCAAAATAAATGGAAGAAACTTGAAGGAATGAAGGAATTAAACAAAAATAAAGCATAAAACAGCCTTGAGATTCGAACTCTGGACGTGCGGCATGTGGAACCGGAGCTTTGACCATCGCGCCGAACCTGATTATTCGGCATATCATTGGCGAACACGGCCAATGTTCTGAACTGAAAGTCGGCCATTGATCCAGAGAGAAAAATGATAAAACAGTGAACGGTGGGAAGCTTCGAACACGGGTGACACGGCAAGACAACCAGCTGCATTTCCATGTTCGCTACTGTAGTTGTATTGACTGGAGTTGTAACTGTTCGTATATACTCCGTATATACGAATTTATCTATAAAATCCACTCCCTTCTCTTCTTCAAAGAGGTTGGAACCCCCATTTTCTTCCTTCTCTCTAGTCCGAAATTCTCCTCCTCCATCACTAATATCTCACCACTTTCTTCATCCAAATACATAAAAATTACTCCATCTTCATCATCATTTATCATATTTGGAGTTCAAGAACACATCTTCCATTTTGTAAGATTTTTATTATTGTAATAAATATTTATTTGTTTAAGCTTCAAACTATGAACTTCTAAATTCCATTGGGGTTAGAAGTTGGTGTAATTAATTGTCCATCTTAATGTTTTGAATATTTTTAACATGGATTGTTGATTTTATTTTTACTTAGATGTTGTATTTAAAAATAAATAA